GAATTCTGGGAATGTCAATTTATGGTTATTCACTGTAAATTACACAGTCTTTTTCACTTCCAAAAACGGTATACTACTGTAAAATTACATGTAATGTCCAATACAGTTTTTCACAGTATATAGTAGGGGAATTTACCGTTAACCATTTAACAGGTTTTTACTGTAGCATTTTTACAGTCTTTTACCGTTAAATTCACCATAATTTTTTACAGTGTATATATGCACTATGTTTCCAAATGTTAAAATAAAAACAATTATGTGGCTATAGCAATGAGTATTTTGCTGAGAAACACACATTTTTATTCTGACTGGTGATTTTTATCCGTGTAGGGCACAATTGGGTTTGAGCAGCACATTGACAGATGTCTGGAGCTTTCTGAATATCTCTACAATAAAATCAAGAACCGTGAGGGATACGAAATGGTCTTTGAGGGCCAGGTTTGTATCAGGCACACGCATACTCAAGTATAGACTGAAAAAACTGCTTACCTAATACTGCATGTAATGACTTTTCTTATTGCTTTCTTTTGTTCTCTGCAGCCCCAGCACACAAATGTTTGCTTCTGGTATATTCCACCAAGCTTGCGTGGCATGCCACATGGAGACGAACGAAGGGAGAAACTACACAGGGTACTTCATCTCATTTCAATTATACAAAATGAGAGTAACAAGCACATAAACTGGTGGTGATCAAAACAAATTTTACAAATCTTGTTTCGAATCAGTGGTTTTGAAGCTTTTATCAAAGAGTCATGTGATTTCAGCAGATGAGGCTTCGTTACGTAATACTTTTTTGAACCTTAGGTTAAAAACTTTTTACAATTCCAAGGATTCGCCTCTATGCTCTTAAGTTTCCAAAAGAGGGTTTGCCATAGAAGAACCATTTTGGTTTTCCCAAACAATCTTCAAGCTCAAAACAGTTTTAAAAGAATAGTTCAGCTGAAAATGTCCTCACTCTCAGGCCATCCAAGATGAAGATGAGTTTGTTTCTTCATGGGAACAGATTTGGAGAAATGTAGCATTCCATCACTTGCTCACCAATGAATGCTCTGCAGTGAATGGGTGCCGTTAGAATGAGAGTCCAAACAGCTGATAAAAACATCACAATAATCCACAAGTAATCCACATCACGCCAGTCCATCCATTAATGCCTTGTGAAGTGAAAAGCTGCATGCTTGTAAGAAACAAATCCATAATTAAGTCGTTGATTCTGGCTAAAATACGAGTCCATAATCTGTAATAACATTTTCTCCAGTGAAACTATCATTTCATCTGAATCAGGAGAGAAATATGCTCAGATCAAGTACCATTTACAACCGAAAACAGCTCTAAACAAATGTGTGGGTGAATTTTGATGTGAGAGCCAACAGGAGATGGACTTTTTCACTGGAGGAAGTGTTATTATGGATTATAGACTGGTATTTTGGCCAGAAGCAGCGGTTTAAGACTTTAATTAATGAAATGGAGTGGATGTTTTTAATCAGCTGTTTGGACTCTCATTCTGACGGCACCCATTCACTGCAGAGGATCCATTGGTGAAGAAGTGATGTAATGCTAAAGAAGGGAAAGGTCCCTGGATGTTAAAGGTTTTTACATGAAACCATCGATGCCAATAAAGAACTTTTAGTTTTCAAGAGTGTAGATGTTGTTGATCTTGTGAACCCATGTTCTTTAATGGTATTTAATTATTCGTAGATTACATGTAATAACACTTTCATGAAAACATTTGCAATTCGTTTGTAGAGGATGCCATCATATGTACATATTTGGGTTGTCTTTTCATTCCATGTACACCGTTTTGAGTCAGCATGTGCCACCAGTGTACGGTTTTTCCAGTGCTTTGAAACAATGAATCATTTTACAAAGAAAATTGGTTCGAACTTGTGTCATAAATTACGCCGTCTCCCCTGCAGGTGGCGCCGAAGATCAAAGCAATGATGATGGAGTGCGGCACAACCATGGTAGGATACCAACCACAGGGAGACAAGGTCAACTTCTTCCGAATGGTCGTCTCCAATCACGCCGTCACCAAGTCCGACATCGATTTCCTCATCGATGAAATCGAGAGGCTGGGTCACGACCTGTAAGAGCAGAGAACTGCAGCTCTGTGTCTATATTCAAGGCTCAGGCATCTCGACAGGACGGTCGCCCGGTCTACACATTTAATGGCTATGTTTCGACGTCGTATTGTGGTCCAATATGTTCTGTCCTTCTTCTCAATGTCTTTAGATCTTTAACTTACAGATTAAGTAGCCCGTATAGCTACACGGTCACCTTACAACATAGTTTAAATGTGTAACAGTCGGTGCTTGGGTTTGTAAATACAATATAAAGACAAGCAAAGACGCGCCACCCTTTTAATGAAGCTCGAACCCCTTTCTGTGTAGTAGTGGGGTCTGTGTGTAAACCAGTGGTTGATCTGTATTTTAGTGTTGTGTTTCCTAAACTAACCTTGTAGTAGGTCATGTAAAGTGTTTAATCAACACCTTTGTGAGGTGAAACATAAGTATTCAGTTTTCAGTTTGAAATGTACTGATATAAATCTATAAACAAAGACTTTATTTATATTGTGAGCCAACGGTGTTCAAAGGTATTTCTCTCATTTGTAACGGTTCTTCATTTGTATTTTAAGACAAGTTATATATAATCAAACAAGTTTAGGCTAATGTTTATGGTCCAGTAGTGTACTTGTGAGCCAAAGACAGAACTAGTGCCATACATTTTACAATATACTCGATATTCTTTGAAATAAGCAAGCGTATAAATTATAGCATAAATCTATACACATTTATAGAAATATGAATATATTGTATATGTTTGTCGTTGAGGCCCTTAACTCTGTGCAATCAGTGTGTTAGTGTTACAGTGTTATCGTGTGTATCTTTGACTGAATGTTATAAGCAATCCTATCAATTATATGAAGGTAGTTAGTTACCAGATGTATATTACTAATTATTGATATTCAACTCAGGCGATTATAGCATCATATTTAAAAAAAGAGAAGAAATAACAAAAAAAACAATAAAGCAAAAAGCACAAACTTAGAAGGAAGGCTTGAAATGTCATCAGGATGCTGGAAGATTCATATTCATATTTATTAAAAGTTTATTGTTATGCGGTATTTAGATTCAGCTGTCGTCTTTGGAACATTTATTTCATGTTCTCTATTTGTTCAAAGTGTTTTTGACAAATGTGAGGAGGGCGATCTGGTCTGCTCAGTAAGGCTGGCACTTTAAAATGCAATCACATTATATGTAAACTGTTATTAACACATGTACACGGCGCAATAAAAAGCTATTAAAGTATAAGAATGTTCTGTTAGTCGTCTTTTTAAAATGTACAAATCTTGCACCTTTATTTTAAAGCGTATAATAAACGTGCACTTCACACCGAGTTTGTTTGTGTTTTCTTTTATTTCATTCTTATTTTAAACCAGCTGCTCTCAGGCACTAGAAAGTATGTCATAATGACATTATATTTCAAAATATACCAAAAACTATATTTGCTCAAATTTATTTCAAAATGTATTTATGGGGTAACACTTTATTTCGATAGTCCACTTTAGACATTCTATTAACAGTAAATAACATGGTATGTCATAATGACATTATATTTCAAAATATACCAAAAACTATATTTGCTCAAATTTATTTCAAAATGTATTTATGGGGTAACACTTCATTTCGATAGTCCACTTTAGACATTCTATTAACAGTAAATAACATTACAACTACATGTCAACTAGCAGTTAGTAGAGTATTAGTAAACTGTCTGCTTAATATCTTCTAACACTTTCTTTGTCAACTTATTCTACTAACCCTAAACCTACCCTAACAGTCTACTCTGAGAGTTAGTAGACATGTAGTTACAAATTAATGAGAATTAGTTGACATGTAGTTGACATGTAGTTACAAAGTTACTTGTAGTTAATAGAATGTCTAAAGTGGACTATCGAAATAAAGTGTAACCATTTATGGAAATATATTTTCTACCAATATATTATTGGCCATTGAAAGTATGTTTTAAAAATCAATATTTGCATTTAGCCTAAATGTAGGTTAAATACATGCTGTAAACAACTTCACTATATATTTAGCATATTCATATATTTTGGCAATAGACACTATAAACCTTTTTATATATGAAATATACTATCAAAATGCCCCCCTTATTGTGGCAAAAAAAAGTACTTAAAAACAAATAATGGTGTAAGTTGATAATACCTTTGCACTTTGATATATAAAATAACCTTAATACGGAATTATTATCATATTCTCATGCCATGAAATTATTATGGAACATGGTACTATCAGAGAAATATAGATATAATGCTATTATAATTGTAATGGTAGTATAATGCTACTATATTAAATAGTCATACCATATCTAGATACCATGGTCAGCATAAAAAATTACCATGTAACTATGTTCAAAATACTGTACAGTGTACTTTTTGTCATTTATACTTTATTTGGATCACAAAAAGTAAATGTTAAAAATTATTCAAAGATCAAAGAAAAGTTCAGCTGTAAAATGATTTGCAAAAGTATTCGTTACAGTCTATTTAATATGGCTTTTATCACGTTTTTCGTATGTCTGTAGTTTCCTGCTCTGTGTATTATCATTTATTTGCCACAAGAAGGCAGCACAGCACATCTACAGTGTGACAAAGAAATGAAGCATTTGAAGCATGTTGCACATATTTGACTTCCTCCAGGGGGCGCTATTTGATCTCTGCTGTTTGCCAATATGCCCCCAGTGGACAACATCAAATACTCCCAATTTATAATCTATATCTAGATTTAAAAAATATGTGTATTATGTGTATATGAGTATATGCAAATACACACAAACACAGAAAAAGAAAGGCATTTATGAAGACTGGCTGTCCCTCCCAAAAAAAGGTTTCTGTTAACTCGAGAACAGCTCGTGAATGAATCATTCAGATGAGTTTGTGCACGGTTCGAACGAATCATCAAAAAGATCCGACTCACGTGAATGATTCGTTCACGAATTCGACATTGCTACTGTGCCTTCTATGGTTGTATATCCTATCGTTCACATGTTGTACACTTATAAACTAGAAATAAACCATGATTTCTTTATTTATGATATGACAAAAGGCTCGCCGCAGTCTCACCTGTGCGCCACATAAGCACGAGCCCTCCTTCTTGCACTGCCACGTCATTCACCGCCGTCGAGACTCCAACGTGTCTGTCCACAAAACCGGCTGCTGGGGGAAAAAACTATTAAAACGGATAATATTCCCACCGGTGACACGAAGCGGGGATCATGGGGGGATCACAGAGCGTGGAAATTCCCGGAGGTGGTTCGGAGGGCTATCACGTTCTCAGAGTGAGTGTGTTTTTTCTTGGTTTCTCCATTTCACTCATGCGGTACATCGCGAGTCGCTAGCGGCACAGAGTTCAAATCGAGGCCGGGGATGTCAGTGCGGCCTGTTAACCGTGGCGAAATGCTAATGTGGCTAAATGAACATCTCTACTGTTAAATGTAGATATAATGCAAGGGAGTTTTCAGCATTTGACATGCAAAGGATGATACCCCTTAAAAAGCACATCTTCATTTATCCTACTGTACAGTGTGTGTTTTTTCTGTAATTGTTGTTGGATGGACTGTTGAAGAAGCTTACTACATGTCATGATGCTTTACTGTTAAATGTTTAGTTGTAATCTGTCATAACTCGAATTGGCCCAATTTAAAGCAGTCTGCTTATGCTCCACGTGAAACGTAGGAAATTACATGCTGTTCTTACACGCTTCTGATTTTTTAATAATTGGGTAAATATATACACGACTGCTCATTTTAATGGTTGACATCTCAGTCAGGAATCTGATAGAAAGGTTAAGTGTATACTTTGGCATGTACTTGTTGCAACGCTTATCATTTCATGATCTATAATCTATGCCAGTTTAGAGTTTTGCTAGACGATTGTAATGTTTGTTTTTGGTTTTAATGAGTCATTTGTTGGTTCTGTTTGAATGTTAAATGGGGTGTTTTCTGTGTTGTGCAGGTGCAGGAGAATTCTCCCGGTCATAGAGCAGGTCTCGAACCCTTCTTTGACTTCATTGTGTCCATCAACAACACCAGACTGGTAGGTTTGTTGCACATAGTGAGGGTCTTCTATCATATATCGGCTATTCATTGAGCCGAGAAGCAAGCTTGGAGTGTTAGGAATTTCAAATGGAAAATCTGCTTATGTATTGAATAACTGGTGTAATAATGACAATCACGGGATAATACAGTGAGTTAAACTCATTATAAATTAAAATCTGACATTATCTAATGATTTAGAGACTCTAAACAGTAAAACTGACCGTTCTGACTCTAAAATCTGATTGGATGAACAACATTTGAAGCCATTGTAAAAACTGACATGGACCACGTGCTTATAGTTATAGTAGAAATGTGTCAACCATAAATGTTATGTTTGCTTCCCCCCCCTTAAGAACAAGGATAATGACATGTTGAAAGACATACTGAAGGCTAGTGTTGAAAAACCTGTGAAAATGCTGGTGTACAGCAGCAAAACCCTGGAGCTGCGGGAAGCTACTGTTACTCCCAGCAACATGTGGGGCGGTCAGGGTCTTCTGGGGGTCAGCATCCGCTTTTGCAGCTTTGAGGGAGCCAATGAGAACGTCTGGCATGTTTTGGTGAGTAAATGAAAGAGTGCTGAATGCAATCAGAGAGAGCTGAATATTTGGTATGGGTGGGGTGGCGTTTGATGAAAATAGCATGCTTGCTTTGACCTCATTTTGATGAACAACTTCTGGTCAATTAGCCGTAATTCAGCAAAGTGTTCAAAAAGGGCGTGTTCTTGTAAAACAGACCGGTCGGTCGAGCTGTAAGATTAAATGCAAACCTCGCATGAGTTTTTTTCATGCATAATTTACCTGTTTTTGTAGGAAGTGGAGCCAAATTCTCCAGCAGCATTAGCAGGTTTAAGACCACACACGGATTACATCATCGGAGCAGACACAGTCATGAACGAGGTTCGTTTCTCTCTTCATTTCCTACTCTTTTCAGATGTCTTGATCAGTGTGTACAGACATACGGAAATGCACTAGAATTCTAGAGTACATGTGGTTTTTGGTTTTGGATAAATTGTTAAAGAATGTGACTCTCTGCAGCTCAAATATAGATTAAAATTATGGTTTGCAGACGAACGCTTGTTTTTTAGACTCCACAGGAAATAGCTGAAATGACCAAAATTTGTTGTGGTCATTATATTAATAATATAATGTCTATAATAAATGTCTAAAATGACCTGTCTTAATAATATCAAAAGACTATTTTTACACAGCTAAAATCTGATAAAAAAAATTAATGAGCACAAATTTTCTTGAAAACGATGGTTTACAATGCCAAAATAATTGCTTTGTAGTTTAACACAATTCTGGTGTTGAAAACAGCAGTACTTATCGTTAACTTAAACTATTAAAATAATTTGTGAAAAATTTTGCCGTGGCAACTAACTGAAATAAGTTTAAAATAGAAAAGTCTAAAATGACTAAAACTTCAAATAAAATAAAAAGTGTAAAAATCTAATAAAAATGACAAAATTACTGAAACTTAAACTAAAATTAAATCTGAAAATATAAAAAAATGCTAATTCAAAATCGGAATAATTACTATAATAGTATATAAATGATACTAAAATAAGAAGTCATCTGTGTTAGCCAGCTAGATGACATTTTGATGACAAATCAGCAGAATTTGCCTCAATGAACATCACAAAGATCACAGAAAAGCAAATGTTTAAGTTGCAAGGTATTAAAAAACGAATGTCATTTTTAGCAGTGCATTAGAAATTTTATATTGGAAACATTTGTATTTTTTAATAAATGTTATGTTCACTTTACAAATTCCCTTTAAAACAAATAAAATAAGCTGTGAATTACACAGCTAAAATCTGATAAAAAAAATTAATGAGCACAAATTTTCTTGAAAACGATGGTTTACAATGCCAAAATAATTGCTTTGTAGTTTAACACAATTCTGGTGTTGAAAACAGCAGTACTTATCGTTAACTTAAACTATTAAAATAATTTGTGAAAAATTTTGCCGTGGCAACTGACTGAAATAAGTTTAAAATAGAAAAGTCTAAAATGACTAAAACTTCAAATAAAATAAAAAGTGTAAAAATCTAATAAAAATGACAAAATTACTGAAACTTAAACTAAAATTAAATCTGAAAATATAAAAAAATGCTAATTCAAAATCGGAATAATTACTATAATAGTATATCAATCTGAAAATATAAAAAAATGCTAATTCAAAATCTGAATAATTACTATAATAGTATATAAATGATACTAAAATAAGAAGTCATCTGTGTTAGCCAGCTAGATGACATTTTGATGACAAATCAGCAGAATTTGCCTCAATGAACATCACAAAGATTACAGAAAAGCAAATGTTTAAGTTGCAAGGTATTAAAAAACGAATGTTCTAATCATTGTGTAAAAATTTGAGTGGCACAGCAACACTAACCCAAAAAGGCAAATGACTGCTTCATCAACTGGCCCAAAACTCTCAGATTTTTCATTTTGTGGGTGTTGTGCTCTTTCTCCAGTCAGAAGACTTATTCTCATTGATAGAAACCCATGAGGGCAAAGGCCTGAAACTCTACGTCTACAACTCCCATCGCGTATTTATTCCCTTTAGGGGTTCCGTATTACACGTCACTTTCTTTCAGAACACGGTATTGGGATGCGGCGGAATGGAGGCGGGGGGATGGGAATCGCGATGCCGGCTCAACATCGTGATGTCTATCAGCCACCGTCTATCGACCCAACCCTAATTCATGATATAATTAATTGTAATTAGTGCAAAATTTTAAATGGTTGTCATTTCTGGCAGGTGTTCCCACAGTCCCCCTGCTGCCCACTCACGTGACCCCTGGGCTGGGTCCCCTTCCCATTGTCAACCCCTCCACCAACGTACCAGGTAAAGAACATGCACTCATCTCTGTTTTTTATTAAAGGGGTCATATGATGTTGCTAAAAAGAACATTATTTGGTGTAATGAAATGTGTTTATGCGGTTTAAGTTTAAAAAAACACATTCTTTTCCATATACTCTACATTATTTTTTCTCCTCTGTGCCCCTCCTTTCTGAAACGTGACGATTTTTACAAAGCTCATCGGTCTGAAAAAGCGAGGTGTGCTCTGATTGGCCAGCTATCCAGTGCGTTATGATTGGCCGAATACCTCAAGCATGTGACGGAAATGTTACGCCCCTCACCATACTGTGATGATGCCCTGTCCGGCCGGAGCGATGATTCAAAACCAATAAAACCCATTATAAACGAGGCATTCGTTGCATCCAGTGGGGACATAATTATGGATTATAATGACTTATAATAACGCGTTGCATCGCGCCACATAAACATAAAACAATGTCTGCATTTGTGATCGGAGAAATGACAAACAACAAGCCCTTCTCTACACTGCCCAAAAAACTCGCTTTAAATATAAAAAATATAAAAACTCTTTAAATATAAAAAATGTACTTGCAGTCTGTGAGTCAGAACAGCCGGCATTGTAGTCTACTCTCCCAGGATCAGGAAACAGTCCTCCGTTAAATGTACTGCACACATCTGAATATTTGGGTTGAAGTGTTCTAGAACAGCGTTGTAAATACAACTTAACCACTGATTTCTAGTCATGTCCATTTTTGGAAAGCCAAACAAAGTAGTTTCACTTTCACAACAAAACACAGCATCACACACGGCGGCCTATAGTGAGCAGAGGCCGGGGGCTAGAATGAGGAACGGCCGGAGGGCTTGAGTGAGCAGAGGCAGCGGGCTTGAGAACGGTGCGGCCGGCGGATTCGACGAAGGAGCGTCCGGCGGGCTTGCGGCAACCACATGTGACGACCCCGGGCTGGACT